ACTGGCTAATGTTATCCAGGACCCTATTAAGAGTTTATCTTATACCCCAGTGCGAATGCCCTTCTTATAGATACAGAAAATTGAGAGCTAGACCCACCTTTTTTCTATCATTGTACAAAGTCTTTGAGTTATTTTGTTCGTCAAGAAGTTTTGGAGTTTACTGTTTTTATTTTTAAGGGGAGGTTCTCCTTCCTCCCCTTTCCTCGATTGTAGATAAAGTGATATCATCCCTATGCAATGGCAGTGAACGGTTGACTGGAGGCACTTGGAAGTGAAAATCAGCAGTCGTTTGCTGTCATATATGGAATTCCAGTTATTTTTATTATATTGCGAGTAGAGGAATTAAGAAAATACCTAAAAATCAAGACAAAAGATAACTGTACTTAACGCTGGGTTTGGGTCTTTTTCCGTCGCTTCTGTTTCTTTTTTTTTAATCTTAACCTTATTTCACTTTTGTTTATTTACTAAAGAATTCTGTCAATTTGGCACCAAATTTAAATGTGAAAATGATTTTAGACTGTGATACAATAAAATAATTTTGTTTTTTGTTCTAACTGCTTTCCAAATATAGAAAATTTACACTTACCTGCCCTTGATTAAACATTAAGTATGCATGAGAGATGGACCCAACATTGTAAGAATGGCTCTAAAATTAGACTAGATAAATAACAATAACATGTATAAAAGTACGAGATTACTCTTTCTCGTTTCCCCCTTTATTCTGTATGGCAAAAGTACAATATTTACAAAGGTTTCAAAATGAAATTAACAGAATGAGCACGTCCTTGTAAATAAAGAATATTTTGAATCGATGCAACGTGTTCGAGCACAGTGTCTTAGTTAGCACAAAACATGCTACCTTATTACAAATCACATCACGGAATTTAGTATTCACAGAGTTACCTGAGGTAGGACATCACATGGTGAATTATAATATTCAACATGCCACAGCCCTTGGTCACAACAGAGAGAGTGAATGTAAGGAGCAGTTTTTTTTTTCTCTTTTAAACCATGAGCGCATGTTTGTCTATTAATCTTCTTTTGACACAATATTATTAACGCAAATATACAACAACTGTTAAATGGAGAACAATAGATACACATGTATATGTATGTACATGAATATGTATGAAGTCAGTAAAATAGTGGGCGTCCTCATTATCGTACGGAGATTCAAGAAATTGTGATGACCCCGGCTTTGAAAACAGCTTCGTACTTCGTAAAAACAAATTTTTATTCATTGTAATTACGTAAAGTTGTAGATTAGATGTTGTCCATTCCTGCATTTAAAAGAAAAATGCTTGTTTTGAAAGTTTATTTTGTCGCAAATTTCTTATGTCCTTAAGTGCAGTCATCCTTTTATCCAATTTTGTGTCTACAAGGCACGGTGTGTATACAAGCATACAAGTAAACGTTCAGTATATTCAGTCCTTTTTGGAATGAACTAGCTATATGACTAAAATTGTAACTTATACAGTAAAAGAAATGTAAATCATTTTATATAACAGATATTGATTGAACATCAGGCTCTTTGGGTCTTTAAAAGTCCTCTCCTGGTAAATACATGTCAAATAGTAAATATTAACGTAACAATTTTAAATATCGATTAATTAGAGGATTCTTTAAATCAGCTAAAATTAATGCATCATTGGATATTTTTATCTACACCCATAACATGAAGATTTTTAAGTCCTGTTTCATTCAAAATAATTGGTGGCATTGTCAATACCTGATATTTATGTTAATATTACAAAGTGTTTGCTTTCGTTAAATAAGAAAGGCAAAACAGTATTCTAAGGAACAACTACATAAATCCATCTTTTGCGGACGCTTTATCATATATTTATCTATATTTTTTTCATGACAATCCATAAATACCACATTTAAATGTAACAGTAACTAATGAAACTTATGATTCAAAATATTTTAATCTTAATTTGTGTATACAATAATATATAAAGTACATGTATATAGTCCTACATACTGTAAATGCATTGAGCAGAATAAATCTCTTTAACGATATTTAACGAAAAGACATACGTCTTTTTTTTTCACTAAGCACTGTAGGAGAGAAATTAAAGTAAAAATTTCTTTCACGAAAAATTTGCAAAGGTAATGATGTTGTCGATATTGATTTATCTATTTGCAATACCAAATAAACATGATACATCAGCTATCAAATATTGAAATTTGCCAGAACATCAAAGGTTGTTGCCTCAATATTTTAAATATTTACTTAAGCAATGAATATTTATAGAATTTGATACGCCTGCAGCTTTAAAGGATCGGACATCCTACCTTAGTATGGAAACCACCCCCTCCCCAAACGAAAATCTCAAAGAATATTAGTGTAATTAAAAAAAATTAAATAAAAACAAGCATAAATTTCCCCTTAAAATCTAAAAGAAATTAAACCTTACCTTATAAACAACTCCATTTAATTCCCCTTTCTTTATTTCTTTCTTTGAGCATAGATAAGGTTTATGAAATTCTAAGGTTTTAAATCTCTCGATTGACTCATAAACTATGGGATTTAGAAAAGTATATTTTTCTTACTACACACGTAAGGATTGTAGCAGGACTATTATTGTACAATGCAAGGGGAACAAAAATAAATAAAATGTATGCTGACTTCAAAGATGGATTTTAAGCATCATTTTAAATATTATTTCTGAGTTGGAATGACATAGAAAACTCTTTTCATTTAATTTAAACAAATTTAATTTTCTTTACTGTGTAAGTGTATATCATTAATATTCATTAATTAAAAAGATGATGTAGGGAGGGGTCATTTTATTTTTATGCACCTTGGTTTCCCAGTGATGCACAACTGTACTTTAATAATATATAATATCTATAATCATTGTAAATATCTAGTTCTGTATAGTATGGTTTACATTTAATTTCTTAATTTTAATTCCAATAAAAATTATGAACGATTATTATCAAAATCTTCAAAGTCACACTATATCTCTGCGGCGGAACATATCCGTTATTTCTAAGTTGATGCTTAATTTTGCTTTATTTGATTGTTTGTTTTTCCCCCTGAAATCTAGGATTAGACTTTTAATAGATACGTGGTTTTTGTGAAGAAAATAACCATTGATCATTTAAACACGAAAATACGCTAATGTGGAATCAAGGATGTACAATTGGCTGTAATATTTGTAGCAAGTATAGACGTAAGTGTGACAACTGCGAGGAACTCTTGGGTATTTAGTGCAATCCCCAAACATAAGAAACTTGTTAGATGTAGATGCAAGTATACATGCTCTTAATATTACACAACAAAACAAGAAGAACATCCATCCTTCTGAAAATGACATAAAAATGATTTCAATGTACTAATTCAAGTGAAATATGGACAGAAGTTTAAACACATGGTTTTTCTCATAATCAACAAAAAACAACAGAACTCAGACAGGAAACAATGTTAACAAACGAGGTATCGAACGGAAGACAATAAGCTAAATAAAGGTGGGTCTTTGAGTTAATTAAGACAATTAATTTAACTTTAAACCTTTCGTATCGATTTTCTTCGGCTTTCTGATTTTAAAATCTCATGCATTCTGTAAAGATAGTCATGTTCACGGAGAATGATCAATGTGTTTAAAAAGTCTTAACAACCAGGACGCTTTTGGTTTCAAAGGCATAATCTATTTAAAGAATAATAATATCTTTGGTGCGAGATCAGGGTCGTGGTGCACAGTTGGCAAAACGCTTGACCAAAGGTAAACGGACACCCTGGAAGACCGGAATGAGCTTTCATTGCGCTTTTGTTATCATTATAGATATTTATTTTGAACAGAGAACCCTCGGTGTAGAAAACGATCGAAAATTAACCTCATGGGATATTCGAACAAAACGGATACAAAAATAAACTAGACTGGCCATAATCCCGATTCAATAGTGATATGTGAATGCTGAAGTCGGATTAATTGAAGATGTTTGAAATGTGGGAAATATGATCGATTGATTAAGAGTAATTTTTTTCCTTGTTTCGTGTCGTTGAGGATCAGTGAAAAAATTGACACAAACAGCTGATTGATAACCTTGAGATCTGTAAAATTTAAGTGTTGTTCTTAAAATCATTTTTGTGTGATTTGTTTTTTTTAAAGCTGTGTTACATTTGAACATCCATTATGTGATTTGAGGTCTTTTAAGAGCACAGAAGTGGGTAAGATCTTTTCCTCAACATTTCTGTCAGATCATTATTTTCTTTCGTGTTGTAGTTCACTTTTTCACTATTTCGTTTCCATGTAATTTATCATATTCCAACTGTCCCCCCTTCATTCATCTATATATTCCCTAAATATGTATCATTGATTATTAAACTCTCTAAATAATGATAATCAAAGTTTATGTGATGTCTGACCTGAGCGTCATAGCTATCAAGTAATCCCAATAGGTGGATATGGAACTATTGAATAATAAAATGAGATCATTCTTGGTACGCTTCTTATCCTTAAGACAGTGTCCAACTTGTGTGATGGACATCTATATGATTGTTATCTATATTTGTTTACTCGATCGGTATCTGACTATGCCCCCAGGTTTCACTTCTACAATCGCCATTCACTCGGGCTAGTGTGAATTTATTTGTACTTCAGAAGGGAGATGTTATAATCTATTGCATTGTGATCATCTTTGTCGAAGAAGGTATATATAGTTCCAGCTTGTATTAAAATTGTTTTGAATTTTCAGAGCGAGCGCATATTATTTGAGTTTTTTTTTCGTTTCCTGCAGTGAAAAGGCAATCGAATGAATTTTAAAACCTATTGTTATCATATTTCCTATATAAACATTCATGAATGAGAGATTCAATTGTAAAATCTTAAGGTCTTATTTCTTGTACATTGTATGCCCTTTTACTTTAAAGTCGAACTTCTACCACTTTTATATATTACTCCCTGTAAGAAATGATATCTTTCGAATGGCAATCTTAATTTGGCACCCTATTTCAACGAAAGATTTCAAATTACCTTTGTAATACACTTCAGGATTTATCAGCCTCTTCCATGGACAAGTTCTCCGAGACTCGAGGATACAGATCAACCCCCAGGAGCACACGCTCAAGCCCAAGGCGGGGGACTCCCGACACGAGCAGGAATGGCTCCATCTCCAAGACCCAGCAGTTCCTGGCCACACCAGACCACCACAATGGACTGCTGTCCCACGGGGAAGGAATTCACAGACGAAGGTCTTCCATTGCTATGCGAGCCGCCAAAGTAGGCTTTATTATTTATTGTTTATACCACGCGCTTACCTCAAAATATATCAATTCGAAAAGCCTCTTTAAGTTTCACCGATCGTCTTCGCTTATGTGAGCACAAAAAGAGATATATGATTAGTGTAATAAATGATGTGTTTTTATTTCAATTCTGTGAAGTATTTTATTTGGCAGCAGTTCGATATTATTAAAAGATACACTTTATGAAAAACTTACTGCAAAATTGATTGCTTGACCATGTGTTGAACAGCTGAGCATGTAGAATTAAGTAAATTCATCATTTTCAGTAAATGATTTTGTGAAGGTGAACTTCTAGCTGCTGTGCAGGAGATGTATCAAATATAAGGACCCAGCTACACTGTGTCCCCCTCCCCCACCCCCATAAAATGACGCCTAGAAAAAGTTCTTATTGATGATAATAATATTGTGTATCCTACTTATTTTGTTAAATATAAAAATAGCCGAGAGTATAAAGCATTAAGAAATGTAGACCCTGTAGTATTATTGCAGTTAAAGTGACTGAAACTAATTTTAGAAAATTGTAATTGATTTTCTATACATTTGGGTACATTTTGTATATTTTGTTTAAATGTTCTAAATTAGATGTTTGAAAAGGTTTGGGACTGGTAAAAGTCCTGCTAGACTCAAATGTCCTCATTCTGGCCAAAAACTGAAACGTTACATTGTAAACCAATTTATCAAATTTACAATGTGACAATCTTTTACTTTTTATTGCGTTACTTTCATTATTAATACAATTGCCTTAGAAAGAAAACAATGTTAAACAGTTGTTTCTCTTCTGAGAAGAATTACATATTTATAGAGTAGAAAAGTTTTTTTTAACCTATAGCAACACACGTTGTCCTCAACTCTTGACTCTCATGTGAGAAGATGCAATAATTTGGTACTAGATTATACATGTATAGCCGATTGACCGATGTTAACAATAAGAACAAATTTTTATGTAGGTGTCGCCAACAGTGTCATTTTTCGGGGTCATTTTATGGGGGATTACAATAGCCATGCCCTTACATTTGATGCAGCGCTGACTGGTACTTAAAGTTTCTTGCCCTCTCTTAATGTTTTTTTAGTATCTGATATTTTCTTTTATAATAATGACTTGTATTGGAAGGAGGCATTTAATTTATATCATATATTCGTTGTAACAATATTAACAAATAGGCTTCGTAACTACTTTGATTGAAGGTAAACAGTAACATCTACCATAGATAAGACCTCTCTGTGTATTCAGTTGATACCGATTATCATTTATGTCGAGTATATGTAGAATCTAATTTGTTTATTCATGCGGTTTGAAAATTAAAAAAAGCATGCGAAATTGAGCATTAAAATCCCTAAAAAATTCCTATGACCAAGGAAAATCTTTTCAATTTAACTTGTATAAATAATCTATGTCAATGTAGTAAGTCGATGGTCTCAAGGTTCGTCCAAATTATTAAGTCAATAAAAATTTTTAATAAAAAAAATAACCACACAAACTTAAAATACTTCTCGTGTGAGGAAACTTTGTAGACTGTCCTAAATAAAAATTCAAAAATCAATAGTGTCATGTTTTAAGTAAATTGAATTTGATATTTGTTTTCGCCAGAAAATGGATGCTACATAATGACATGCATTAGCTAGAAACCCAGAGTGTGTAACTGAAGCCACACAAGCAATTAACATCACATGGACTAAAAATTGGGGGGAAATCGTTACTTCTTTATCTAGGAGGATGGTGCATGTTTATGCGTCATTTAATCATCTTTTTCCAACTGGGAATATGTGATATATTGAAGGAAATAAATAACATCTGCTTTTTAAATAAAACCCCAATGAATTTGCAGTCTCGTGATATTTTCAGCATAGGGGCTTGTCTTCCGGATTGTTAAATGTAAAATAATTTTTTTTAAAAAAAGATGACCAAGTTTAAAAAAGACGTACCACACCTATATACATATGTATATAGGTGTGGTACGACTTTTTTAAACTTGGTTTTTTATTGACTGAAAGTGTCAGAAGCTTTATTTTAACAACTTTTAAGTGTATTTAAAGTAGATTAAAAAATTTGAAATTTATTTTACATTTAACAATCCGGAAGACAAGCCCCTAAGATTTTCAGAGATTGATTTAAGACGTTCCAGTTTTGCAGTCAATATTAGTTTTAGTGGTATCAGTTTAGAAGAATCTTATTAGCTGCTAACCAAACTTTATAGAGACCAGTGGGGTACATTAAGTTCATGCATAATCTTATTTCTTAACAAAACATCCAATTATTAACAAACCGAAAATAGGAACCACCAAAGTCTATTACAGCTTTTCAATTTTATTGCGTTGCTTTAATTGTGCAGGATACGGTATTTTGTGAAGTATAGCATCCTCGCAAGCCAGGGGTCCTGAGTCAACACGTTGCCGTTGGTCCAACGGTAACGTGTTGATTCAGAATCCATGTCTTGCGAGGATGGAAGTATAGCATCGAAAGACAGGATCCGTTCACGAATTTTTCATACAATATAGCTTTATAAATCATATTATTCCCATATGGTGTATTGTCAAATAATGGACTGAAAAAGGAAAATGATTTTTTTCCCCGAATTACTTTTTTTTTTTGTTTTATAATTGTTTCAAGTTAGTTTATTTATTTCCTTATTTTTTTTTTTTAATGAACAAATATTTTTTCACGGGCAAAAGAAATCCCAAGTATACTGCTGCAGATTTTCTTTAAAAAATTGAAAACAATGGCTTAAACGTCAATTATTCTTAAAAGTAAGACCTTGGCCAAATCTATAGTGCAACTTCTGAGTTTCAGACAGACTTCCATATTACTAAGACATTAACATTTTTTCTAGATGAACTTTATGGCCGAGCATTCGAGCACCTGCTATAAATTTTCCTCTTCAGAAATACAAGATGGGTTCGTGCAATATAATAAATTATCGATGAGTACAATCAATCAATAGAAATCTGCCGTTGTGCATCATTTTTGTATTTTTCTATTATCAGACAATTTTCTTGGGCCCACCGAGCCCGTCTTGTTTACATATTGCAAAGCTTTTGACTCAATTACGTCATCAAGATGATGAAGCCAAAGTCTCTCTTTGAATTGAGAGTTTCGTGTATGTTTCCTCCACAAGTCCTCTTTGTTTTCCTTTAAGTGCATACATTACCCCCAATGTTTACAGATCAATCTCAGACTGTATTTAACACATGGGTAATTAATAAAAGCAAACCATGAGGTCGTTTTAACGATACTTGATGACACCTACTTCAACCAAACATTATGGACAAGAAATCATACAAGAAAGAGTCACAGTTTTCATCAGCTCTATTTCTTTGCGTTCCATTTAGGCCATTAGAAGAGTTTCAGACACTTAGAAAATTACAAAATCAGAGATGAAACATTTGTTTGACGACCTTGACTTTACAAATTGACCGATGTTCACCTACTTTTTGTAGTTTTAACTGCACTTATATTTTTGTGTTAATTGCATTCCTGCACTCTTACTTTGAAATTGCAAAAAAAAAAAAATTACAATGATATATAACTTTTGAGTGTGCCATTCAATTTCAAAACAACTTAAGCTGGTTTGACCTGTTCCATCATATTGTATCAACATTATGTGAACGAATATTTTACAGAAAATGAAAGTAATTTCGTTGCTGAAAATGCTTGTAGGTGTGTAAAATTATGTGCAAAGGAAGGCAAAAAGGAAGGTTTTTATGATTGCATTTTAAATTGTTTCTTTATACTGGAATAATTGTATTTGAGACTATCTTATGTGATTTATTTACATGTATATTATAAGGCTGTGGAAAATGTCGCACGTCGGATGTCAACGCCCAGTTTTTCTATTGACAAAATTGAGGAGAACTTGGACAAAGAAATTAAAGAAGAATTGGAAAACTCGGAGGCGAAAGGAATACGTAAGATGTAAGTAAGGGCGATTCTTAAAGTAGGTCCACACAGTGAAAAGTCCATCGATGTCAATAAATAAAACTTAACAGAACTATTCTGACCTCTATTGAAATTTTATGTATTGATGTACATACATGTACTGAATATATGAACATTGAATAACTATTTTAGTTGATGTTAGATAGTTTATTATTCAATTTGCTGATGCTAGGCAGAACTTTACTTTCAATGACAAGTTGATCAAAATATTCATACTTTGCCGAAATGGTGCTCCACTGTCTTTTCTAGAGAAAATGTTTTGGTACTCTGACTAGATATCGAACACGATCCAGAGAACTTCAGTCCAACGCGCTACCGATTTTGACTATTTTAAGTATATAAAACGTTAGTTTTCATACCTTTGACACAAAACATAAAATAAATGAATATCATTTCCAAAAAAAAAAATGATGTCATTGACAACAAACTTGAAGATCCTCTCACAAATATTCGAATTAATCAATAGCCAAAAATTGCAATGTAACATGAACTAGTATTTCGGAGTCATTAAAACACTTTATAAACACTTTATGCTTGATTAAAGAATGTTTCATTTAGATTTAACTTCTGCAAACACTTTTTTGATCGAGAATTTAATTAAATTGTTGTATGCATACAGCAGTCAGATAAATGTAAAATAGTGGTATTAAATTGTATTTGGATGTACTATGGTAAAATAGTATAGTAGTCAGGAATGACACATAGTGCAGTTGCCTCCAGCTCGTGCACCAAGTGTCAAACTCTAACTACTAATTCGGCATAGTACATCAAAATAATAACACTACTATATAAACAATGTAATTTTGCTTCAATCAAAGCTTGTAAGTATAGTTTTTTAAACGAAAATATGAACAAAGAAGTAATAAATCTTCTTTTTTTCTGTCATCGGAAATAGGAAATTAAAATTTGCAAAAAAAAAAAAAAAAAAAAAATTCTCACATAAAAATTACGGCTCATATTTGAAAAAAAAGAATGAAATTAAAGAAAAATGGTCATGAACAAATTTTATTCTTATGTCAATTTTTAGCCACTTTTATGGATAAAAAATATGCAATTATCATTTTTTAAAAAAATATGGAATATAATAAATGCGCGTTTATTCAGATATTTACGGTGTTAGAGGGAAAATGTCAAATACTTCTTGAAAATTTTTTTAATACATTCCAAGCTTCTTGCATGTCATTTTTTAATGTCCGACAATCGAACTAAAAAAAGATAAATAATTCTGTACAGTGAGAACGATAACATTGATAAAAGGGAACAGGTTGGTTGTTCTCCGTATCTGTTACAAAAAAAACACTACCAGCACTGCTGTCTAACTTGATTAGACAACACTCGGTAGCGAAACCTTTTCTTTGGGATGGCGAACCTCTAACCCGGTACCACAATGACTTAAACATTATAGTAATGTTTCGTAATTACAGCCTGATGTAGAGATCGTTTAACTGATATCAAATCGAGAGCTTTTTTTATGAAATTAATACAACCACATGACATGATGTTATCTAAAGTAATCAAATTTTTATGACTTTATTCCAAGAAGAGGATCAATTTGTTCGCGGACTTCTGTGCTATTTGTGTAATATTTGTTAGGAAGCTTCTATGGGAACTGTTGAGAAATAAACCAAAAGAAGAATAAAACAAAAGAAATTGTAGGCAGGGCGAGTGATAAAGACACAACATTTTCTTTAACTATAATTAATCTATAGGTCGAGATATTTTCAACGTTTTGATTTCTAAAATTAAAGACTTGAGTATGAACGTTTAAATTCCACTTCAGTCATAAGTATGAAGGAACAATGCTTGTCATTTTTTTTTTATTTTTAACAAAGAATAAGCCGGAAGAAGTCGTACGACATCAAAAAATTGATGCAATATGGATTTATGAACGGAGAACAACAGAAAACGCATTTGTTAACAATTAAAATGCATGGTTAAGTAATGTAATGGGGGATATCGCTTAAAGAAAATTACATTTTAACGTGTGTTGAATACCTCTATTGTAGATTACAGAGTTCATGTCAGGACATTCTGCATAGCAAGAAAGTGCTTCTGTTGATCGTCCTGTTAAACATAACTGATTGTTTGTTGGTTCTAGCTGGTCTCATCCTGGATATAAACTACATTAAAGGTAATGCATGAGTCAACTTACACGTAAATATAAACACAACGGTTTGACAAATGTGCCATAAAGCACGTGTATTGTGATGCAAAAACTACACATTTAGGATGAAATATCATAAATTAATAGCTAGAAAACCAAATAGCTAAGTAAAATACTCATGTTTAAAGAAAGAGCTATGAATTAAATGAGTCAATAGCCTGGTATGATTGTTAATAAAACATGATATATTTTGTCTAGATTTTGAGAACCAAGAAATGGGTACTATTTTGTAACCAAGAAAAGGCCAAACACACTAAATAGTTTGCATTCATGCTTTAAAAAGGAACGCTTGCATCAAATTGAAATGCAAAAATCACATTTTCTTAATCGTATTTGATTCATTTGTACTTTGGTGAGTGAAAAATGCATTTTTAAAACTATGATTAGATTGAAGGTAAAATAAAGTATCAAGTGTGTTCAATAGATTGGAAGTTAAATACTGTAAAATCACATATTTTACAGTGGTAAAATTTCGGTCCAATTTTCGTGGTTTTAAGAATTAACAAGGGTTCATGAGGATTTAATTTCATGGATGAAAAATTGATGAGTAGTAATTTCATTTCGTTGTGGACATAATTTGTTGGGCTCTTCATACCTCGAATACGAAAATAAATCCCTTACGAGAATATTGATTTCACAGTTTATGAAAACTTAACATCTCATTTCATCCAACAAATAAGGACATGTAACAAATTAATAAATCTTAATTCATTGAAAGATAAGTCATAAAAAAAATCTGCATTCAGCTGCTATACTAGTAAAACTGGACTGTGAAGTTTAATAATACCTCAGTTACACACACGTAGGTAAATTGAAAGGTGTAGGGATTCTTCTATGGGTCCGATATTGTAATAATACACAAGACATTTACAAAGAAATAATGGTAAGGTGTTACTTCAATTCCGGACTAGATCCTTCTGCAATAAGAATTCAAGCTAATGTCTAAAAAAGGACATCAAACTTATTTTAATTTTGTTTGATTCTTTTTAAATTATCAGAAAAATTCTAAAACCTTATTTCAAATAAATGTGTTTAATATCTTTAGTAAAAACAGGCATTTATTTAAAACTTTAAGCATTTTTTTTTAAAAAAAATCTAACTGAACTATAATTTCAAAAAGAAAATAAAGGAAAAATGGTGATGCATTTGTGCATATTACCCCTTTCTACAGTGAATCGATTACATGTATAACATTTCGATTACAACAGTTATAAATGATAAATATATTAGAATAAACTTTTATAACGTTTACTCGCGAAGAAATTCGATTAAAGCTTTTAATTCAATGTCTATAGGAATCGTAAAAGGTATTTCATTCCAAATGGGATTGAAAACATACTTACTAGTAATACATTCACTTTCAGTTGAAAATCAATTTGAAATGGGTTTTGGATTCCATTTGTATTTTAAAATAAAGAAACGCATTGACACGTAGTTTAAACCGTTATGTCCACTTCAGCATTGCGTGTCTAGTATGATCAATTTTTATTGTATACTGAATTTGAAATAACAGTTGAAATAAAAACTAGGAAAAAAGGATCACACAGTATCTTTTTTGCCATTTGAATATGCTATCTCAAAATTTCAAATAATACATTCTCATTCCCTGATTGAGGTCAAATAATATTTAAGTTCTTTTCATCATGGCCAAATTTCCCTCTTCCATTTAAATTGTATATGGCGTTTTTGAAATAAGGTTAAGATCCACTGGACAAACAGTCACATAATGCATTATTATTCATTTGATTATAATTTTTATCCTGTAAAGTAAGATATTTTGACATATTAATTTACAGTATAATTGCTTACTTATTATTGCAGCTGTAGCCTTTATATTTGCCTGCTACTGCGACTGCTTTTAAAATTGATATATTATTTGTTCATTTCACCTTTCTTTTATACATGTGCATATAAAATATTTTTTAAAAAAGATTCGTAAATAGTAACATAAAAAGCATAAAATTATGAATGGGGCCATACTTTTACTTATACCCTGTGTTATTCCGTTTTACTTTTACTTATACCCTGTGTTATTCCGTTTTACTTTTACTTATACCCTGTGTTATTCTGTTTTACTTTTACTTATACCCTGTGTTATTCTGTTTTATTACAGGAATGCTAAATGCCACTAAACAATTGACAAAGAAGTTTACTTTCGCATTAAAGGACAGATTTCCTCGTATATTTGACCATTTGAGTCCTTATGACATACATAAGTTCTATAACGTATTACTGACTTTACCCTATAACTGCAACGAGCAAATGACAGATACATTACCAGTGACAAACTTCACGCATTCCGCTGTGTCATCAAATATTACTACGATATCAAATACAAGTGAAACCGACATTGGAATATTCACCGTAGAGGACTTACCATCGTTCCTTACACGTCATCACGAAAAACATAAAATAGAAACCGATATCGCTCATGGTTTTCACAAAGCCAGCATAGCCATCTTAGCAGTACTCTCATCTTTGGTAGGTATGGGGAAGAGGGCACAAAAATTGTTCAAAGTCAATGTACAGTTGTGTCGTTTCGAAGCCAAGTACCATTCCGGAAGGATGTTTGAAAATTTTAATCTTTAAAATACTGTATATGTGATATATTTTTAATTATTGGTAGTTAGAGATTCTATGAAAAATACATCCAGATAATATTAAAGTAATTAAAAAGGGGGTAAATAAGATATGTGTTGTTTTACAGGTTCTCCTGAAAATATTTTGTTATGGGAAACAATTGATAAAGAGGAAGATGGAGGTAGGTATCTGAATAACAATGTCTAGATCCACACGGCAACCATGGTATGGTAACCATAACTTGTATTTAACTAGTTACAGAAATCAGAATACAGGATATGCATCAGAAATGTAATACAATTGAAGATCTTGCCTTATGTTTGACAATTACGCAGTTTATTTTACACAGCAAAACTTCAGAACTCCAGTAGAGGCATCAAGGGAAACAATATATTGTTATTTCCTCGCACGATCAAATAGCGAATATCTGATGGTTTTGTGTGAGTTCAACATAATTTAAAAGAATAGACACAATCTTCTCGCAAGACAGGACTTAATAATTTCCCATGAGGTTTTGATGTGGTCATTTTTTTTATCTTAACTTTTTCCTGATTTCAACAACACAGATTGTATCATGTGAACCATCAGTGTTTTAGGGCAGATTAAATTTCGCATGAAAGAAAATTTTGAAGTAAATCAAAGTATTGAACAGGTATAGGTAAGATGGATTGCTTGGAATTTGAAATTATTTTCATTTTCGATCGCTATGCTCTAGCTGTTTTGAAATAAATGTCAAAGATAATACTTTATTTAGATCATCGATAGTGAACCTTTTAAATCTTTTATTTTCACTCAACTGGAGATGACTTTATGATTTTAGATCAATAGAAAGTAATTAATATCCAGATTTAGGTTTGGTACTATAAATTGTTTTTACCTTACAAAGAACAAAACATCAGAGAGCATTTCAGAAGAATCTCAAAATATATCGACTTTTCACAAAAGAATTTTCAATTGCAAATATGCTATCAATCACCAAAAGGGTTTTTCCTCTTAAAACTGATCAAACAACACTTTTTTTAAAACATAAAAATAAACACATGATAAATAACCATACATTACTTTAGAATAATGAATGTCAGATTTAAATTCTGCAAAAGAAATTCATTATAGTTCCCATCCACAGTATGTCATTCCTGATAAAACTACAAAACACTTTTGTATAATTTGATTTATCATCTTTAAGAGATTTTCTTTTGTAAGTTTAGATCTTTTAAGTGATCACATAGAGTAAGGAATGAAATACAGTGTGTTTACCGCACAAAGACAAGAGTTTTAGATCTATGCAACTGCTACAAGGCCAGGAAATGGATAGCTAAAGCAGGAGAAATAACATGAATAATTTTAATTGTACTCATTTTACATTTTCATACATCGTAATACTCATTTTACATTTTCCTGTACTCGGTCATTTAATTTTATATATATATAGGATACCTTCGATTTTATATATATATATATATATATATATATATATATATTATATATATATATATATATATATATATATATATATATATATATATATATATATATATATATATATATATGATCTCCCATGGTTTGTCGTTGGATATGATTTTTTTATCCAATTTGTTTTGTGTTTTTATCCCCTTTGCGGGGAGATAAAGACACACAAGGAGTTGGATAAAAAATCACATCTAACCACAAACAATGGGAGATTCTTTTTATCACTTGTTTTACACAAAGCTATTTCATTTCTACACTGTTTTATAAATGCAAATCCACAACAATTGACATGATCAACGTAAAAACTTATTTGATCAAAATGACGAAAGTATTTTCCAAGAATTTAATAAAATCAATCATTTTAGTCAGGTAGTCTTTGATATACATGTATTTCATAGCACGGCAATTTTTTTTTTTTGGGGGGGGGGGGGTGTGTTAAAAAAATAATAATGCCAGCGATCTTAATTTTCTTTATTACTAGGCTATGTCAAAATTTTATATGACAAAAATTACATCAATAAAAACTCTAGGATCCATAATACTCATAAGTAAAAAGTTAAAAAAGTTATTAATTTGACATCATAAATAACAAAAATATGACGATATTTGCAACCAAAACACTTTCAGCTAACTATTGTCTAACAAAGTCAACCCTCTGGCCAACTCTTATATATATATATATATATATATATATATATATATATATATATATATATATATATATATATATATATATATATATCGCTTTTAATTCTAAATTTCAGATGTTTGATGGAGTTATTGTGATAGCGTCTTTCATACTTGACATAGTCTTCATTAAGGGCCTAACTGTCTATCCCCTTGAGGAAACAGTTCAGATCCTTGCATTTCTAATGCCATGGAGGGTCATTCGGGTGGCCAACAGTAAGTGATTTATATAATTAGACTCAACATTTCCGTTTACGGTGTTAAGTGAATGAGTGGCATGTAGGCGTTTTGAAAATGTCGTTTCTAGGCTTGAACCAAAAAGGGAGACATTTTCAATTAACAACAATTTTAAAGGGGAAGTGATAAAAACAAAACTGTCACCAAACGTAACTCAAACCTCAGATAATTTTTACACAGATGAGATTTCATGCTCCAACAGAAACCTCAGTAGACGGTGGAAATTTCAGAAACACAATTATATATAATGCATTGCGATTTCCTTTACTGCCCACTTCACAATTGTTTTGTTAAAACATGAAGAAGTTTAAGACGGAATGTGGAAACTCAAGGGGGTTATGAGTATTATACAAAATTTATACACTCATAAAACAATCCTTGAAGAACAAGCTTGTTGATATTTAGACAAATGCCTTCTTCAATAAAAATGGAGCGCGGGGATTTTCCTAAATGCTTCGTGTGATTAGTCTCCTCCTACAAAGATACTTACGGTAGTTAAATTCATTCTGATTCTACACACACAAGTATTCTGAAGTCGATATTAAATTGATGTTGAAGTTCCTCATTGACAATATTTCAAAGTCTTCAGAGACCAGGTCTTCCAACCTTCTGTTGGAATACTGCTATTGGGCACAAATTATGGTACTTAATTAGCACTGTTTTTGTAATCTTATGCAAAACGTTTTATTCAAAAACTTTTTCATACAAAGAAAATCTTACTGTTGCCTTCAATTCAACATTTACAAAAATGATAAAATACTGCTTTTTCTCAATTAAAAATGTTCATTTTCATTCATATGTTGACTCCCAATGAACTCGAAATAAAAGACACCAAACAGTCTGCTACATCTGCTTCATATTTGATCGTCAGCTTCCCATATTTATGTTACAGTATTTCATTATCAACTACATATGGTGTCTATACTTCCTAATTGACTGAGTATGCAAAAGTATGTTCTGTATATTCAATCCCTTGGTCGAGGTAAATTACTGACAAATATGATGATGTTTCAGGGGTTTAGTCAGTCTCTTTATATTTAACCTCTAGCATTTCGCAAATTTCATGATAGTTATGATGTTGTTTGCAAATACAACCTATATTTGTGTAGAATTTTTACTGACTTGTTTCATCACAATTTTTGGCTGTTGTTTTGAAATTTTATTTTAAAAAGATTGATCGATTTGCAACATATTATTCGCAGGTTCAGATAAAAAAAAAGAGTTATCTTTCTTTCACTTAAGGTTTGGTAATGGCTGTTCTAGACCAAGCTCATCTTCAATTGAAAATGGTATATAAAGAGAAAAAATTAATAGAGGAAAATTTAGAAATATCTGATGACAACAACAGATATAATAAAGTAAGTAAACAATTCTAATTTTATACCTGTTTAGTTCTGTTATCCTTCTGTAAATACATTTTTTTCAAAGTTCTTGACAGGTTGCCACGATCCTTGCAATTGACCTCCGCTGAAAGGGTGCTTAGATATTCCAATTTCAGGACGAATATACCTCAAAATCAAGAAAAGAAAGATTATTTTAATTTTGATTGTATTAAATGAACTACTTTTACTTACAGGAAGTAGTTAATGCCTTACGACGTCTTTGTGAGACAGAAGGAATCGCAAGTTATAAAGTCCTGAAAACGATATGCACATGCGGTAAGAAAATAGGATTGTTATATTTTGTTTTGTATATATACGTAGTTATATATGTTGTAAATGTCATAATTCGTAAAAAGTATACCTGATCATTATATAAAAGAATTTCAGAATTCTATGAAATTTAAGATCATGGAGAACATTGAAAAGAATTTCAATTATTTGATTACTATCAATTAAGAGAAAATGTCTATTAATTATGATTAATGGCAAAAAATATCGTCGCACGACCTTTTCTGTATAAATTTCTATAAGTTGTAAAGAACAGAACAAAAGTTTAATGACACTATGAATCTATATGCGCAAAACTAGTGTTAAAAATAAGTAACTTGATTTTTCCTTCAAATGATTTTTTTTTTCCATACAATCTTTTAATTTACTAATGATTTTGACCTTGTCTATAGAATCACCGAGCAAAAAGAAGAAAAAGAATGGCAGCTTAAAAAAGAAAATAACTAAAAAAGTTAATTGTTTGGGCTCCGGTGTAGACCGAAGCTCTTGTCCCTATGGTAACATTCCGGATATGAATGAAGTCACTTTGGAACATCTACATCGCATTGCAAACAAAGCAAACTTTAAGTCCACATTTGAGGACGTAAACGAAGCGTCTGATTCGGATGCTGAAAGTGGATCTCTTTTGGACAAAAACTACAACGAACCATGATTATTTGTAATTCTTATGCAATAAAGTCAAAACCTTTTTTATCAAAAGAGTTGTTTATGTCTTTATAATTCAATAATATTATACGAGTGTACGCTATCTGAGATTTTCTTCAAATCTTAATAATTTGTTGTTTTTGTAAAATCATTACTAATGACGATATATGTCATTTAAAAAGAAACATTTTAATTTTGCATTTGAAAACATCATTCAATTTGCTAACTACAACCATCGGTTTTGTCAAGAAACATTCGACAGATTGTTATGTAAAGATGGCATAAAGGATATGTCTTGAAATGATGCGATTGAGAGAACGACATGAAACACATGTAGCCGTCCACTCTGATTTCAATGTAGGCAGACAATTCACACCTGTGTATGACGTATGCACCCACAGTGTTTAACAACTGCAAAAGAACGGCTTATTGATAAAAAATGATATTTTTTTCAGTTACATATAAGGGTCATACAGATAACTTGACCGACGGCTACAGAGAAAAGGAACGTGGAGTTTCACTTTGATTCAACTCATGTAAAAACCAACTAATCAAGAACAATAAAAATTAAGTGTTTCTCTTATGAAGTGTCGATATCAATTTCAGCTTACTTCCGAACTTTTTTAGTAAAGATGATTTTAATTATATACAGGATTGTCCCATTTCAAAGAAATAACATGGAAATTTTGAATTGCATAGAGATTAAAATAGCAAAAGGTGAAAGAATCTTTATCTTTAAGGAATATATGATTTCACGGAATTTATGTTTGTTTGAAGAAAATTTGCATTAAGCACAACTTAACCCAAAGAACAAAAATGTTACCACGAACCAATGGAGGTCAAACCATATATACTATATTATACTTACCATATTTACTCTTTTATGTTTACCACGTATACTATATCATTTACCGTTAATTTTATCATATATATGGAAGCTGGATTATTTCACTTTTTTCACATTCATCGAATATTTGTAAACCTCTGATATTTATATTTTGAGGATATATATACTTTACTTTACAATACTATACTAAACTCTACTTTACTTTACTATATTTACCATTTAAACAGAGGAAGGCTTCATTTTAACTAATATTTAAGTCAGATTCTAATTTGCTTAAACCGCAATTCTTATGGAAGAATTCCAAAGCATGGAAGAAAATATGTACGTGCGAATAACCATCTGTTTAACCAAATTAGGCATGGTTTAACTTGTGTAACGTCATCATCCACAAAAAGGTTATGATTCACAAAAAAAATTCTTAACGTAGAACCTACGTCGTATGACGTCATATCGAGTAAATGAGCTTAGACCGTCTTTTTGGTGCTAGATCCATTATGACGTCATAATTAATTTAATGTTACTTTTTCCCATACTTTCTCCAAGACTGTCTCATGTAATGAAGTTACACAACTGTGATAATGTGAATGGCATGCAACTATTTTGAAGGAAATCAAAAATCCTAAGAAATCTAAATAGTACAATAGCTTGATGAAATGTGTCTGAGTCAAAGATCTGTTAAAAATTTTGTGTAAGTTTTTTAATGTCTATCATGAAATGATGTGCATTCCCTTTCATAATTATTTGTTAATTATTCATAATGGTTGGTGTATAATAATAATGTTTCCCTAAAATATTATCTTTTTAAATAAAACAAATTGCATTTTTTGATAAATATTCACATTGTAAATCTGAACGTAACCCCAAAACAGTCATTTAATAATTAAATCCTGTGTAAGTGCAAAAAGGTCAACAAAAGAAGTCTTGATAAATAGAGTGTCTCTCATTCATTTGCGGGGAAAGATATATATATTAATCACTTTTTGTAATTATTTGGGTAGGTTCTTCATCATATTTAAGATTGAAAACGTTCTGACAAAGACTTTTGAAAAATATTTACAAATTTAGGTGGTAAATTGACTTAAAAAATATTGAGTACATTTGCTTATATTCGTTGAAATGTGTACTATAATCTTTTATGTCAATTGGATAAAAAAGAATTTATTCCTGAATAATATTGCTTAATACGGTTTAGTTAATAAAGTCTATAAATGACGATGTTTGATGAAGTATTTTTGTGATTTTCTATATTCTCTTTTATGAACAGTATCCCTAAAAATGGCTGAAAATATGTAGTCGCAGTTTAAAATTATCATTCCAAGTTGCACAGGCTACACTACATTTAATAACAAGGAAAATACCATATATTTTTAGCTGATTGATAAGCGAGTGCTAACTTATCATTTTGAAAAGATTAAAAATCTTGTGACAAAGACTTTTCCGACATAGGTTCTACCTTAAAATCAGGTCAGCAGAATCTGTATCGAAACCATAGTTCATGTAGAGTATCATATAAAACTGTACAGAAAAGTCTCCTAGAATCCTTGCAAGGACAATTTACCGCATTGGTTCGAAATAAAATAAATGTGACATAACATTCTACCGCTAATCAATATTCAAAGGTCTACAAATATTCGACTAATGTGAAAAAAATGAGTACATTAAAGTAAGACTTTTAAGGAATCACTGTCTAGTTTATTGGTATGTAAGGGCATCAAAGATAGTTTGAAACGTGGGATAATATGCATAACGGGCGAAATTTAACCCGTTATTGTAAAGATGTTCAAATGTGTCCAAAGAAAATGTCTTTTAGTCTTAAATACATTATTCACAATTACTATTACTATTGTATTGTTGTGTTTCACAACTACTAATACTATTGTGTTTGTTCTAAAACCTTGTACCAAAAAATGAATTAATTATCACAGAAGAATTCGAGAAGAAATCATGATAAATGTCTTTCAATAATTAGGCATCAGAGATTGTAGCTTGTCTTTTATTGAGTTCAATGTTGAAAGACAGAAAGTACGAAAGTACATTTCTTTTTAGTGTTTGTGGTGATTTACAATCATTCTAGGTTCTTGATACTGTACGTGTACATAAATTGGTGTATTCAAAATTTAGCGCCTTACTCCGGTATGGAGTTGTTGGCGTAATCATGAATTAGAACTACACATTTCCCTGCCGTATATTATATATATATATATAAATGATTTCTAAGCGGTATTCATAAAATAGCGCATCGTTGTCTGCTCCAAAGCCTTTAAAATATGAAGCCCGCTTTTTTAAGTACACATACAGTATTCTACCATTGGAAATTGTGCTTGAGACGCAGGTGTAATACATAACAAGCGGTAACGAAATACTATATAGCCCAAACAAAGGATCCCAACATAATAAAATACTAAGAGAGAAATTTGAACATTAACAGCTGTGAAATTGGACTTTATTTAAAGAAATTTGTAATTGCATTTTATTTTTTTTAAACATTAAATTGAAGGTTTTTCTGTTCAAAAAAAAAAAAAAAAAAAAAAAAAAAAGTATAATATTTGTAGTTATTGATAATCAAATATTAGCTGCAAATTATTTTTCAGGTTACAAATACAAAAGACAAAACTTTTTAGTGATTGCTTAGTTTTACACATTTTTTAAAATATTTTTTTAATTTACTAGAGAAAACCAGTAAAGGCAAAGTCACAGTCAAACTTTATGATAAACGTGATTTTCGACCAACATTCGTTTACGTATTGTACAAGTCACTAAGATACAAGAACATAAACAATTTTTCTATCGTCAACTTTTTTTTATTTATGTAGCGATATATCATCATCATCTGCATATTGAGTTTGTGTCTCCAAGTTGATTCGATAAGTTAGAGCATGTTCTACTAACGAACATTTTTATACTAATTAAACGAGGCAAGCTATTGACAAATAAGTTGATAATATACAGGGATATCAACAGTCTCTTTTAAAGTCAGCATTTCTATGGTCAATATAAGGACCTTATTAGCAAATTAAGTCTATCGTTAAGCCAAATGTTGACTGACTTTTTTTAATACAAATTATTAAGCGATCATTTTCACACTGAACTGGCTATGGATTTTTCCGTTTGCCCTATCATGACAATGAGCACACTGCGGGTGTGACCCGACAGGAAATGCTTTCTGTTCCATGGCACATGGTCCCACATATGATGTTTTTAGAGGCCCGTGTTTGCTCTGCGCCCAATTTGTATTGTTTCAATGGAATAGCATGCGATATCTCAAACTTCCTCCTGTTGACTGGGGTGTTCAAAATATTCAAAACTGAAACATGATTTTGAAGAATATGAACATGTGATTTAAAGAATATGAACTGTGATTACAAGTTTCATATAATGAAAGAATATACCCTACTTATAATGACCATTGTAAAAAAAAAAGATATTCCTGTCCATAGTTAGATGCATGTATGTTTTATAAAAAAATCTTATCTAAATATACGTAAGCAAGAATTCATATATAACTTCCTTGAATGGGAATTCTCAATTCTTATACATGTAGTAAAAGCTTTAGACAAGATCTAAGCGTCATTAAGTAAGATTATGAATTGTTTTCAGATCAAACTGACAGTGCATGCACTCTAAAAGTTACAAAATTATGCAGATTTGATTTTCATAATTAGTTCTGCAGTACAATTATATAAACAAATATTCAAAAAATATTCTTTATAATATTTCCTCTCTATAATCAGGCTCTTAAAATTCAGAATGTGTCTGGATGATTAAAAACTTGTATTGGGTAACAGAATCAGCACTTGTATTGGTTATTCGTTTTAAAAGAGGTATCAATGTAATGTCACCTATGACAAAATCTAGAATTATACAGGATATAAATTAAAATGTGTCAGTTGGCAGGTGTATTTTAAAGACGATGTATTCAGGAAATTACAAGATGATGATGACATTATCAGTCTTCGTGTGCGGCACATTTAAAACATCTCAAATTAATTTTTCTTTTATTTTAAACATGTTCAAATGGAATTTTATTATAATTGTAAAGTTTCGACATTATATACATGCTTGGGGTTTCTTATATACATGTACTTATTTTTTTTTTTTTTTAAACTTAGGAATATGAATTTAAATTTTAATGACATTTTATTGTATTGTGTTTGTGCTTCATAAATATTTTAATCGTAATAATTTTAAACATAATAATTT